ATGGGATGTGTTTGTGTGTGTGGGTGTGTGGGTGTGTGTGGGTGTGTGTGTGTGTGTGTGTGAGAGAGAGAGAGAGGCAGACAGACAGACAGATAACATTCAATTTTCAGATATTGTCCCTGCTATGCTGCCAATACTTCCATATCTTTGCAAAGGACACTTATTAGTTGGAAATTAAAATCAAAACCAGAGACTGCATTTGCAAAAATTAAAAATCTTTTATCTGAAATCTTGATTTGTGATCTGAAAATTAAAATTTAACTTCTGTTTTTAAAGAAAGTACCAATATTTTTCAGACTATAAGACACACAGATGTATAAGACGCAGTAAGATTTCAAAGAGGTAAGTAAGAAAAAAAAGTTTTTTTTCCCCTGGCCCCTAGGAGCATTCTGCAGGCTTCAGCAGGGCTGGGAGAAGGCAAAAACACCCCCGTTTTTGCAAAAATTGGGCCATTTTTCACCAAAATGGAGGCATTTTTGCCTTCCCCCAACCTTACTGAAGCCTGCAGAGTGCTTCTGGGGGCTGGGGGAAGGCAAAAAAGCCTCCATTTTTGTGAAAAACGGTCCAATATTTTCAAAAATGGGATGCGGGGGGCAGGGCTTCAGGAGGTCAGGAAATAGCTGTATTCGGTATATAAGACACACCAATATTTCCATGGTCTTTTAGGAGGTGAAAAGGTGCTCTTATACTCCGAAAAATACAGTATATATTAAAAACTATTATAAATAAAACAAACGTAAAAAAATTTCAGTGTCTGTAATCCACAAATCTAACATTGCAATCTAATCCCACTCAGAAAGAGATAGGTGGTACTTAAATTTGATAGATAGGTGGATCAGTAGATAATAGGTAGATCATAGAGAGATCTTTATGAGAACTTTTCTCTTAATGTGAGTTACTATTAAGTTTTAATTATATTAGGATTGTAGCTCTAATATTCATACATTTACTTTGTTTAGGGTGATATGTTGCTTCCCCAACAACATCCTTTAATTTCTTCTTTAAATCTCGGCTGGTTTTCTTATAAAAAAACAAATCTCGTTCCAACTGCTGAACTTTAGCTTCATAGGCTTTAATAGTTTCTGCAATATTTTCCCCTTCTTGGTCTAAAAAAAGATAGAAATTTGTTTTACTATGATACATTTTATTACAACACAATGAACAAAGCTACATTTCTTTCACATCTTGCTAGCATTTTGTCTCCAACTTTGTGAAAAATAATGCATGCATGTAAATATTTAAAAGAACTCCTATGATTTTAAAGTCATAGAAAAATGAATAACCATGGATAAGAAAACAAAACATAATTGAAGCACCTAACAAAAAGTAGTTCATTGAACTTGTGAGAATTAGAAGAAATGTGGTCATTAATGTTTTTAAAAAGCAGAAAATTGCACCTATCATAAAGTAATAATTTACTGACAGAAAGAAAGTCATTAATAAGTTTGAAGTTTACTTCTTTAAGCAATAATGAGATCAAATTGGAAAAAGTACATCTAGATGAACCTGAGGATATTGCACCCAGGTACAGATAGTCCTTGACTTAAAACCATTCATTGAATGATGGTTCAAAGTTACTACAGTGGTAAAAAAATGATTTACCATCCATTCTCAAAGTTATGACCATCGCATCTCCCCCATGGTCACTGATCACAATTTAAGCACCTAACAACTGGCCTACATTTATGACAGTTGCAATGTGTTATGATCACAATTTGTGACCTTTTCATCTGCATTTCAACAAGCAAAATCAATGAGGGAAGACAGCTTTGCTTAAGGTTCAAGGTTTATTACACTTGTATGCTGCCCTATTCCCGGAGGGACTCAGGGCGGCTAACAAACCAAAAGGGAAGGGAATAATACAGAAAAAAGCAAAAGGCAAACAAACAAAATACGGAAACAATTTAAAAACAGTCAACAGCCACATAGTTCGAGTGGGGATGGAAACTCATCAGCCCCAGGCCTGTCGGAACAGCCAGGTCTTGACGGCTTTGTGGAAAGCCTGAAGGTGGTGAGGGTCCGGATCTCCACAGGGAGATCGTTCCAGAGGGCCGGAGCAGCCACAGAAAAGGCCCCCCTCTGGGTGGTCGACAATCGGCACTGGCCGGCGGGTGGAATTCGGAGGAGGCCTAATCTGTGGGATCTAATAGGTCTTTGGGA